AGCCTCCATCCTCGATGCTGAGGCTTGAAAGGGCCCCGATCCCTTAGAAATGCTGTTTCGTGGCTATGTCGCTGTCCCCCTGCGCAGCGTCGCGTTTTGTCGCATGGATTTGGCCGGCCCCACGGGGCGCCAAGACGGGCCATGGTCCTGGCGGCGCAGGGCGGCCCAGGAGGCTCCCAATATCGCGCCAAGCTGATTCCAAAGGCCTCCTAGATGCCTTCCTGACGGCCCAAGAAGTCTTCAAGACGGCCCCAAGAGGCCTCCAAGTTTGCCCAAGATGGGCTAAGATGCCCTCCGAGACGGCCCAAGAGAGCCCAAGATAGCCTCCAAGACGCCCCAACAATGCCCAAGATGCTTCGAAGAAGACTGCCCAAGAGGCCTCCAAGAAGTTCCTCGGAAGATCCGAAGAGGCGAAAAGCATTGAGATTCTCTAAGTGGTTGAAGGATGTTTGCATTTGCGCCTCTTCGACCTTCCGACGGCCCAAGACGGCCCCCAAAGTCGCCCCGAGATCACCCAAATGGCTTCCAGCAGCGGCCGCGGCCAATGCTGGTCCTCAGGAGAAATGTCTCTCTGCGGGTTTCCCTGCAGAACGCTGAGACTTATTGCTACCAGGACCGGCATCATCTGGACTGGTCATCTTCTTCTGCTTGGGCGGTGGCGCTAGCTGGTCAGGTTCAGGCGACCTGTGCGAGCTTAAAGAGTACGAAGATGGGGATCGAGCTACCTTCCTCCCTGGCTTCAATTAAAGAGAAGGTTCATCTGGCTGTTCCGCTGCGGGTGCCCCCGCTGGAGGATCTGCGGCAGACTCCTCAGCGCCAGGGACAGTCGGCGGAACCGGCCTGTTGAATGCCACGTTCGTGATCTTGGCCTTGCATTTGCAACCCAGATCGGTCATACATATATATATATATATATACTAGAACCATCGCGCGCGCTTCGCGCGCGCTCAGATTCTAGCAGGCCCCAGGCCTTGACGAATTCAATGCTCCACTGAAGTAGTGGACCACAGTCCACGCGCGCCAATCTGCATTCCGAAAGGCCTTCGAGGAAATGGTTGTGTAAGGGGGCGGAAGCCGTATGAATCGGGTTCCCAGAAGGCCTTCTGGGAGCATGGGTTCGGGGGCGTCTCGGGGAGTCGTCGTCGTCGTCGTCGTCGTCGTCGTCGTCGTCGTCGTCGTCGTCGTCGTCGTCGTCGTCGTAATGTCGCCGTCGCGTATTGGGGCGCGCCGCGATGAGCGACGCCACCAACGCGCCCGAGCCTGCGTTGAGATCCACGCTGGCTGGGCCTGTGCACCGAGCAGCCAGCAACGCCAGCGCCTCTGGGGCCCGAAGGGGGCCCACGCGAGCCCGTGCTGCCGCCGCCCGTGCCAAGCTCTGGTCGAAGGCCTCCAGGAGGAAGCCAGCTAGCAATGCGCCCCGCACCGCCTCTGGCCTGGCGGACGGCGTGGCTGCGAAGCGCCCGCCTGCCAGCAGCTGCGACAGCTTCAGGTAGAGCACCAGAATGGACGGCTGCGCCTTGTTGATCGCCAGCAAGCCCCGGCGGGGCGGCTAGCGGGCCCGCTCCTGGGCGAAAGGCGGCGGCGGCTGCGCTCTGATCCTTGCGAATCCGCCACCACCAGCGGCTCGCTTCTGGGTTGGCGAAGCGCTTGCCGCCTCGGGCAGGATCAGCAGCCCTGAAGGCGCGGCCGCCTGGAGGGTCACCTCCTGTTTCAACACTGCTCCGATGTCGCCGAAACTGGTCTCCTTGCTTGGGCCACGACGGCTCCGGACCAGTTTGAAATCGCCTCGAGGGGCCATCAGCAGGGTTGAGTTCTGAAGGGATCCATCTGAAGGTGACTTTGAGGTTGCAGGCGACTGAGATAGCGAACGAGCAACGGCAGCCAGACAAAAGGCCGCAGTCCGACGCTCGACCCTTTTCATGAGCACAAATCATCGACAGATTATCACCCAAGCCTAGCAGACGATGCCCGTGACACTGCGAATTGCGAGAGGCACGCCGCAGCCAGAGCAAACCTGCTGAGCTCTCGAGCCTGTGGATGGTACTACTCCGCCTCCACCTGCAGGCCACCGCAGAGACCCAGTTGGACTCGCGCAGCAGCTCAGCATTCACTTCTGCAAAGCCCGCCGCTCGGCCCAGTAAGAGTGCTGCAGGGTCAGAGAGCTCGATCGCGTCGGCGGCCAGGGCGGCGCCCCGCGGAGCCACCAAAGAGGCAAGGGGCCCGCGGAAGCGCAGCTTCTCCGGCTGCCTGCCCGCGGCCTGCACCGCGCTCAAAGGCCAGCGTGCCGTGCAGACCCCCGCCCCCCAAGGCGACGCGTCAACGGTCCCGACCTCCGCGTGCCAAGGCCTCTTCATGTCAGCGAACACGAAGGGCAGTAGCGCCAGCGCCCACCTGAGCTCCTGCTGACAGCTGGGCCACAGCGGCTGGGCCTTATCGTAGGTCGCGCGGATGAAGACGCACACTGAGCTGAGCATGCTGAGCGCCTCGCGCCGCAGCATCAGCAATGCCGCCACATGCCTCTCCAGCTGTCGACCAGTGATGCATCTCCTCGCTTCTAGCAAGTACTGGATGCAGCCGTGCGCTCGCCGGAACTTCCTTCAAGCAACGCGCCACCTGGCAGCCTTCGAATCCAGCGTGAAGCCAAGAAGGGCATCGTCCAGGTCGAGCGTGGCCCTGACGCCCTCCGTCGTGAAGGTGTCCAGCATGTCATTGACGACCTGCCTCGCAGTCGAACGGCTGGTGCTGATCCCAGCAAAGTTGTCGATGTACAGGACCTTGGCGGCGTCCGTGCTGTCCGACAGGAACACCCCTGGCTGCTTGTCGACCAGCCGCTGGTTGTCGGGAGAGACAGAGGCCAGCAGGTTCAGGTGGGCGGCCTGCACGAGGTGCACGGCCCAGTTCCATCGCATGGGAACAACGCGCACACGGAAGGTAGTCCGAGGCCGCGCAGCGCCTTCTTGCCCCAGCGCCTCACGTAGCCGGGCTGGCAGCAGGTAGGTCGCCACGTCGGGCAGGCAGAAGTAGTTCCTCGCCCAGCCCGGTAGCAGGTACTGATAGAAGCAGACCTCAACGTCGCCAGCAGCCAGATGCACCTCCTCGCTGGGCGCGCACTCCAAGCTGCTGAGGGCGTCCCCAGAGGCCAAGTGCGTGTACTCGGGCGCCCTGAAGTGGCAGTTCGCCCTTCTGGTAAGCCTCAACTTGTCATCCTTGCGCGGTGCAAAGAAGATGCCCGTCTCCTCCTTCCGCTCCGATTCGCAATCCAGAACTTCGACGACGCCTGCTTCGAAAAGCTCAAGCAAGAAACGTCCGTAGTCGATGCCCCGCTGGGCCAGCTTGCTGTCAACATAACATGTGACATCCGCCTCGTCCAGAGTGGCAAGATCCTCCTGCTCAGAACGCAGCAGCCCGTGCCCAGACTCCAACGCGGACTGCAGGTGCAAGGGGGCAGTCGAACGAGATCAACCTTACCCGCGCCGCGAGAGGGAAGCGAGACCCCCCAGCGCTGGTAGCCGGCCTTCGCCCCGATAGCTGGCTCATCAGAATAGCCAGGTCGAAGCCCAAGAAGCGCCTGAAACGCCTCCTGGTTGGTGCACACTTCGGTCTTGGGCGGGGCTGAGGCGCCGACCTCGGTCAGGTGACGCAGCGCAGAGCGCCGTGCCAAGCTGGGCCGCCCGCCGCAGCCCGCCGCCCGCCCGCCACCGCCCAGCTCGTAGAGCGCGGCGACGCCCTCCAGCATCCAGCGCCCCTGCCGCCTGCAGCGCGCGGCTTTGCGCCGCTGCCCAAGCGAAAGCTCAGGACGTCACAAGCTGTTTTCAAAGCGGAGACCCTGATGAACGAACAGCCACGCGTCCTGGCGCTCAGCTGTGAGGCCAACTTCAACCTTAGAGAGAAAAACGAGACGGCACTTCATGTGCGTGGATCGGGATTGCGCATGTCCGAGAGGGTTCGGGGGGGCGGGGGACCAGAGAAGCTCAAAGTAGGAAAATAAAGCCAGATGGCAACAGAGGCAAGAGGAAGCTCGCCAAAAACATGATCTACCACGGCAGGGTTGCATCATCATCAAGAGGCGACTCATGCTCTGTGAAGCCAATGGGCGACAAACAGACAACAACTCGAGACTTCCTTCACGTGCAAGCACAAACCAGGACGTCACAAGCTGTTTTCAAAGCGGAGACCCTGATGAACGAGCAGCCACGCGTCCTGGCGCTCAGCTGTGAGGCCAACTTCAACCCAAGCCGTACCCAAAGGCGTTTACTGGGAGGGCGGGCTAGGGCGATTATACAGGGACGCGCGCCACTCGCTCAAAAGAATTCTGGCCAGCTTCCTATAGAGGGCGGGCGGATAGGCAGCAACGATAGCGGTCCATTTCGCACCATTCGGGGCGTTGCCCTCAAGCACGATGTGTTGACGGCCAGACTTGCTACAGTTTCCGTTGATCTGACTACACCGACGATCGAGACAGCTGCTATCATGGACATCTATGCTCAGACACAAGAATCTCGTTCGCTTGCGCCAACGAGCACCTTCCTGGCACTGGTCGAGACATCTTACTACGGCCCCCCGATCTATAAACCCCTGAACCTCTCTCGTGACAAAAACGCGTGAATTCACAGGATGCTCGAGTATACAGGGAACTCTGAACTTTTCGCAACATTTGATGACAGACAGCGCGGCACGCATGGTCTTATTGCCAGACGCCAGGCGAGCAAGCTGCTTTGCACTCAGAAGATGCTGCGGGAGTCCCCAGGGCTGCGATGCCGAGCGGATGGCCCCCACTCGGTCGGCAGCGGTGGTCCAGGGCCCACAAGGCGGTGCCAGCATCACGGCCAAGACGCGGCCTGCAGCGATGTCGGAGCACAAGCCTCGCAAGACCTTTCGTCGGGTAAGGTCGCCGCCTGGCCCGTGCAGCGTGTCCCAGAACCTGGCTGGCACGCCCATTGCCATTGCGGCGCGCCCAACGCCTCCCTTGCCACTGAAGCAGTCGGCCAGGTATTGGCCAGTCAGGCGTGGTCGAGCTCCCGCAAGTCGACCGGCGAGGCGCGACCCAAAATGATGTCCGCGAGCTGAGCCTCGCAGACCAGGAACACGTTTTGCTGCGCGCTGCTCAGGGTCGCCCACGTGGCTGCCAGGCGTGCATGCTTCTCGTAGCGGACGACGCTGCGGTTGGTCTTCCACTGTCCGCGCTTCTGCACGTCGGCCAGCCGCCTCCACCTCCTTGCCATGTCTATCGAGGCCCCTGAGTGGCGCATCTGATACGGCACCACCTTGGCCTTTACCTGCAGGTCCTGGAGGCATAGGCTGAACATCTTGCAGTACTCTGGGTACGTGAAGTTCCACAGGCACTCGGGGTGCCCCTCCTTCTTCATCTGACGCAGCACGGGGTCCAAGAAGCGAATCCAGGGCGAGTCTAACTCTAGCGACACGTCCCCCAGGCCCGTCTTGTCCCGCAGGTCCTCCTCCTCCGGGAAGAGCCTCAAGGTCCAGAACTCGCACACCCCCGCCGCTGGCGGCACCAGGCAGGCCGGCTTCAGAAGCAAAAGGCTGCTGGGGCGGGCGTGCACGCTCACCGCTATCAGAGTGAACACCGCCATCTGGAGGCTGCCACGGGCCTTCATGCGCCACGCCATTGCGCACCACAGCGCCAGCGCCCACGGCTTCCTCGTCCGCGGCGGCTCCAGGCGCCGCCAGGCCCGGAGGCATCTCCAGCCCCGGGGGAGGCGCCGGGCACCGTAGCGCGAGAAGTCGGGGTTGAAGTGCAGGACGCCAGCCATCAACTTCTCGGCCCAGGAGAGGTGAGTCCCAGCCTGGTACAAGCCGTTCAGGTAGCTCACCAACGCCGAGTCTACCACGGAGTCGTCCCTGCTCTTCATGACCTCGTCGATGTCCACCGAGGGCCAGCTTCGACGGGCAAAGTCCCGCCATCCGTCCCAGGCCCTCTGGTACTCGCGCTGCGTCGGGGTTCGCACGGCCTCCCGCTCCAGGAGAGGGAAGCCCTCCTCGCCGGTGGGCATCCCGTAGTGGCGGGCTCGGCGCTTCCGCGACTGCGCGAGCCTGCGCTGCCGCGCGGCGCCGGTCACGACCTCGGGCTCGGAGCTCCCGCTGTCGGAGGAGCCGACGCTCTCTCGCGCTCCCCGCGCGGGCTCCGCTGGCACAGGCACCTTTGTCAGGTCCTCCACCACTCGCCCCGGGCTCCGCGGCAGGGGACGGCTCAGCACAGCCGTCTTCAGGAGCCCCGACTCGCCCAGCTGACGCTCCCGCCGAGCTGCCGGCAGCGGCTGCGGCGCTATCGGCGGCGCAGGGACAAGCTGCCGCGCGCGCCTCGCCTCCTGGCCGCGGGCTGACGGCTGCAGGCCAGGCTCCGGGCGAGACGGCGCCAGCTGCCGCGTGCGCCGGCGGCCCGTCTCGAGCCTCGCGCCTCGCCTGGCCTGCTGGGGGCTCCGAGAGCGGCCCCGCCCGTCTGGCGCTTGAGGGCGCGCAGGCAGCATCGCGGGCCGCGGCGCCATCGGCCGCCCGCTCGGGCGCGGCCCAGGCGGGAACCCGCCCTGGGCGCGCCTGGGAGCTCTCGAGCTCCAACAGCTCAGCCAGAAGGGTGGACTTTGCGCCGTCAGGATCAAATAGCCGTGAGGGAAGGTCGGCACAGTTGAGCTCGCTGGGTATCCAACGAATCGAACAACGAATGTTTCGGCTTAGACAGACAGCGTGAAATCGACGAATCTGAACCAACAAGTTGAAACACGAGCTCCTTCCCCGATTGAAGCTTAGCACGACCGACATATTGTCACAGAGCAGTAACTGACGTATATGGGACCCAAAGACCGTGGTGGCGATACGATGGATGCTGCTGACCAGGGCTCGGGCCTCCAAGGTCAAGATGCCCTCAGGGTGCTGCCAGGCTCTCGCGAAACAGGGCTCCCACAGGCCTGCGCGGAGCCCCTGGGCGGGCACCTCCGGGAAGTCCCTCGCAACGTCCCACTGGCCCAGCTCCTCCTCATCTTCGGGAAGGCCCTTGAGTTCCCATTTTCCACTCTCACTCATACCGAAGCCAGCTGCACAGAGCGCAGCCTCTCGAGCACTGCGCGCGCAGCGCCGGCGAAAGCGGGCCCGCTCAGGCACGCGCCCGACTGACTCCACCAGCTCCTGCGGCCAGAAAGCCCTTGCCAGTCCGTAGCCGTGAAGACTGGCATCTGACTGCTGCACCATCGGATTCCAAGGCAGCCACCAATCTGACTCCAGGAAGTACATCAGGGAGCTGAAGGCGGCCAGCTCTCGCCGCGCCTCGGTCCATAGCACGGCCGCCTCGTCATAGTGGGCTCGCACAAAGCCGCGCACTGAATTGAAAGCTGACAAGGTGCCGCGCGAGCAGAGGCCACAAAAGGTTAGGTGGCCCAGCACTGCCTCCACGGCCCAGCCCTTGACCCGGCGGCGGGCTAGGAGGCCCCGCACGGCCTGGCGGCAGCGCCAGAACCGATCACTGGTCACTCGAGTGCGCAACTGGCTGCCGTCGATCTCCGTGCCAAGCGCCACTGCCATGCCCAGCACCAGCTCGTCCTTGTGCAACAGTAGGTTCAGCTCGGTGAACTCGCCCGTCAGCTGGTTCATCACGCCGCTCACGAGCTCAGAGAATAACGAGAAGACCCCCAAGTTGTCGACGCACACGCAGTGCCTGACCTCCTGGGGCGCCCTGCCAGGCGCGAACACGAGCGGTGGCACATGGTCTGACAGACTGGGCCCCCTGAGGAGCGCGCTGCTGCGGCGGCTTACCTCCTCGTTGGCCCGCTGGGCGAAGTAGAGAGACCAGCTGAAGCCCATGGGCAGGACCTGCCAGCAAGGGTAGATGGCCGTCGACGTCTGCACCTTGGTCCCCTCGACCTCGGTCACGCCGAAAGCCCCAGCCTTGACAGGCGGCAGGCAGAAGTATTGCGAGAGGGCTGAATCGATCCGCATTCGATGAAAGCAGTCCTTCACGTCCGCCATGCCGATGTACACCTGCTGCGCCTCCAGCGCGGCGCGGAGGTCCTCGTAACTCGAGAAGCCCGCGTCTGGCATGTGCACCTCGATTCTGGCGAGGCCCTCGCTGCTCAATAGCTCCACCCCAGGAGGATCCCTGAAGTGGGCGTTCGCACGGCGGGCGTCGACTATGAGGCGAAGTCGGCGCCGCCCATCCTTCCACACAAAGAACATCCCAATTCTCTCTTTCGGTGTCAGAGTCCACCCCAGAATGCCAGCTGACAGCAGCCGACGCACCAGGCCGCGGTACTCCTTGTGGTTGAACTTGAGGACCGAGTCGAAGTACGGCTCGACGTCGGTCGGCAAAGGTGACTCTCGTAGCATGCGCTCTTGGCGCTCCCGCAGGAAGGTAAGGGCCTCGCCAGGCAAGAGGTCCTCAAGACGCGGGCAGTCGCTCACGTCCGTCGGCATGCTGACGAGCCCTGCACTGTAGGAGGCGACCGTCGTCGGGCCGCCGCGCCCGTCATATGGCGAGCGGCCCCGCAGCAGCTCCCGGAGGGCCGCCTGCGGCTCCTGCAACTTGGCGTCCGGCTGCCGGCCCCGAACGAGGCCCTCGAAGCGCGCAAGTACATCCCGCTGCATGCCATTGGCTGGGCCAGGTTGCGAGTCGTACCCCGACATCCAGTTGATGGCGTCGACGATCCCGTTGACCTCCAACGCAATCCGAGACTCACGACCGAACTGCCTCGCCCTGCTAGACCTGCCGCGAATTCGGCGGCCTGCGTCGCCCAGCAGCGGGAGCGGCAGAAAGCTGCGGGCTCCTCGCGAGGGCGGCAAGCGGCCACCGTCGTGCCCCGGCAAAAAGGGCCCGGGGGAGGGGCTGAAGCCCCCGGGCCCGGGGGCCGTCATGGCCCCGTGGAGGCGACGCCCCTGGCCCGGCCGCGCCCGCGGCCGCCTCGGCCGCCACCGCGCCCCGCACCTGCTGCGTCACCTCCAGCTCCCTCTGCTCCGTCGACTGTCTCTGAAGGCGCTCCGCGTAGCGTACGCGCCCGATTCTGCGCCTGCTCCATCTCGTGCTGCTCCTTCGCCCGCCGGTGGACGCAGCCCCTGAGCTCTGGCCCTGAGACGTCCTCCACCGAGCTCACGCCCTCGAAGAAGCGTGCGTTCGTCCAGCTCGGCTTGGACGGGTCCGCGTAGGCATCCACCACTGCGGCCACGCGGCGTGTCAACACCTCCACCATCATCAGGCCGCCCATGTTCAACTGGTCATATACCCCGCCCTGGTACAAGGCCTCCACGATGGTCCTCAGCTCGTGCACCACGCGGTCATTCTGCCCGAGGCCCTTCATGCGAATGAAGAGGTCGAGCCAGAGGCGCGGGTCGCCACCGTGCCTTTCCATGTGCTTGCACATGCGGAGAGCCCCAGGCGGTCCGTCCACCTTCGCGTCTGGGTAGCGCTCCTGCCTCGACTCGCCTACCACGTCCCGCCATCGCTTGAACCGCTCGCCCTGCTCGTCGTAGTCGACCCAGAGCGCGCGGGCGTCGGCGTCACGCTCCTCGCCCAGCGGCTCCGCCAAGGGCGGCAGCGCCAGCTCGGGCGTAGCCGCGCCGCCCATGGGCTCGGCGGGCCCCTCATCCTCGAGCGGCGCCGCGGCTGCAGCACGTCGGCGCTCGGGGCCCAGGGCACGCGCTTGGCCTCTGTCCAGGCCATGCCAGACTGCGGCCTCCTCGGCCACGCGCCCAGGGGCCGACCCTGCGCCCAGCCGGGCGAGACGCACTATGCCGCCGTCGGCGGCCCTCAGCACACCGAACGGCTCGGGCCCGTCCTCGAAGCTCAGGCCCTCGATATTCGCCACGTCGACCTCCGTTCCGATCGCAACGCCGGGCCCGCCGCTGAGGGCGATCCAGGCCTGACCCGCACCAGGAGCCTCCAGCAGCTTCCCGCCCAGGCGAGCCACGGCCATGCCCAGGCGCAGCAGGCCGGCCCGCTCCGCGGCCGACAGCTTACCAGCAGCCTCCTGCCAGGTGACCCGCTGGCCGCCCACGGCCACGGCCTCCCTCGGCTCAGGCAAGGCAGCGTCCATCTCCAGCGCCGCCTGACGGCCCCGCGTCAACGCGTCGGCCAGCTCGTCGGGCCCCAGCTCCTCACGGAAACGATACAGCCTCCGCATCTTGCGCGTCCGCAGTGCCAGCGGGAAGGCTCGGGCAGGCCCAGTCTCGGGGTCCCCACAGCTCATGTCCTCAGCGTAGATGTCACCATCTGGGGTCAGGACGACCCACTCGCCCTCCGCCGCGTAGTGCAGCAGCACCCGCTCGTGGTCGACGTCGTCGTCGGCGAAGCGGCAGACCACGTGCTCCCCTGGGAGCGCTCTAGTCCACCACTCCCGCCCCGCGTCGCCGCGGAGCCACCCCACGAGCGACGCCATGCCTGCGAGTGACCACCTTCGCCACCAGCCAGTGCACCAGGCCTCCAAGCAGCGCTCCAGCGAGCTTCTCAGCCGCCTTCTCGCCAGCCGACGCCTCCGGGCACGCCCTCGCCTCGCAGGCCGGGCAGGCCGCGCACGGCGGCGGCTCGCAGGCCGGGCAAGCCGCGCAGTGAGGCGGCTCGCAAGCCGGGCAGGCCGCGGCCTCCGGGCAGGCCGCGCACGCCGCCGCCTCTGGGCACGCTGGGCAGGCAGGGCACGAGAGGTCTGGGCAGGCCGCCTGCCCTGGGCCCCAGCCTGGCCCAAAGAAAGCCGCGGCCTCCAGCGCCAGCGCCGCCCAGGCCGGCAACGCGGCCGCCCCGCCAGGGATGGCGACCGCGTCCATCGACTCTGGACCAGAGAAGCTCAAAGTAGGAAGATCGAGCCAGATGGCAACAGAGGCAAGAGGAAGCTCGCCAAAAACATGATCTACCACGGCAGGGTTGCATCATCATCAAGAGGCGACTCATGCTCTGTGAAGCCAATGGGCGACAAACAGACAACAACTCGAGACTTCCTTCACGTGCAAGCACAAACCACCGTTGAGGGCTGAGAACCCCTTCAGGTAGTGGAGCGTCTCCGAATCCAGAGGGATGGGCAGCGCGTCTCTTTGGACGAGACCGTCGTTGCCAAAACCCAGCGAGGAGGCATCATCATCCCGCGCGCCTCGCCTCCCCTGCAAACTCGCACCAAGGCCGGGGTCCTCCCCGATGCGAGGTGGCGACTCAAGCCCGTCGCACGCGGCCACGGCCGCGTGCCTGGGCCTGGGCGCCCGCTGCCGCGTGGCCGGAGGCAGTGCCGGGGTCGGCGCAGCGCTCCAGCAGCCTTTCCTCTCGTACCGTCCAGCGCTCATGCGGGATGGCACTCTCCTCCCAGCGACTCTCGGCAACTCAGCTCGCACGAGCGGGCGGTATCCGCGACGAACGCCGACTCCTGTAATGCCCCCCGAGGTTGGACCGCTCGTCGAGCCACGCCTTGGCGTCCTGGTCGGCCTCGTCCTTGCGCAAGCCCGCTGCATAGAGCACCTCGAGGAGCTGGTCTCGGCGGCACTGGATCGCGGCCACCACTCCCTCGCCCGCGTGGGGCTGGTCGTGCGTCGTGAGCTCCTGCATACAACCTGAGATGAAGTGATGGTCGACCACGCCGGCGTCGGAAGCCTGGTGGCCTTGCGCAGTCCTCCGCCGACACTGCCTCTGCAGCCCCAGGTACCCGGCCCCCGAGATCTTCTCATGCAGCCAGGCCGCCGTGTCGGCCCCCTGGACCTGCCAGCCGTGCCGCATGTTCCCAGGTGCGTCGAGCCCCACGAGACGATATCCCTGAATATGAGCCAACATGATCCATCTGAGCATGTAGTCATCGTGCTGATCGTAGTAGGCGAGGCCCTTCGAGACCCCCTGACGATTCTGCAGGTAGCGCAGCGTACGTTTTGGAGGGCTGAGAGCTGTCATCTGTCTTTGCTGCCAGCAAGCGAGCCACCCTCCACAGCGCGAGGCCCGTGACGACCGTGACGAACACACCTGATAAGAAACCCCCGCAGAGCGCACCCCACGCGAACGGCTCCTCTGGACACTGCAGAATCGGACAGCTCGGACAAGCGGCACACGTGAGCTGTTCTGGCCCGCAGCGATCCAGCTGACGGCCCAAGAGTTCAACTATATCGCTGCTGACTCGGCAGTCCGCAATGCAGTGGCAGTCGGGGCAGCGAGCCACTGAGAGAAGTGGAGCCCGAGGAGCGATGGCCTGCAAGCTACGCAGGGCCAAATCCATTGAGCCAGGAAGAGTATAGAGCGGAAGGATGAAACGGAACAGTGCAATGCAATCTCGTTAGACAACGAACAGGTTTGCGCCAGAGCGGCTTGAGCCAAAATGGCTACGGACGGGTTTCCTTGGGTCGATGTTGGGGGCCTCTTGGGCTGTTTTCGAACGTCGGGAACCCGAGAAGGCGATATGACCAAAATCCTTCGAACATCTACGGAAAATGCTGATATGGATGGATGGCATGTTCTTAAGCCCCAAGTGGCTACAGTACTTCAACTCACAATCACGTGCATGTTGCATGGATGTCCGCACGCCTCCTCAGCGCGGCACCCTCGAGGGTGCAAGCTGGCCTTAGCAACTTGCACTCGTCCGTAGCTCGAACTCGTGGCTCCAGCGCATCATCGGGTGATCAGTCCGATCGACGCTGAAGCGAAAAGTGTGTTCTGGAAACACTCCGCCAGAGCACATTGAAACCAAACGCGTTGTACCGGTCTTTCTCTCTCTGTTGCTGCCTGCAGCTGTCACTAAAGCGGGCTGTGGCCCTACAGCCTCGCGCCAGCTCCCTTCGTCGCCTGCGGGACCCTCTCAACCCCACGACACTTCTGGCAGGGGTACGAACCGAGGCTGAGAACGATGCCTCGCATACGTGCAAGGGCCCTGACTGCCCTTGTCCTCGCAGCGCTTGGGTGCTGGCTCCACCTGCACGCCTGTGTCTCGAAGGCATACGGTCACCTCACGGCGCTCCTCACGGCGCTCCTTCAGCACGTGCCTCTCGATGAGCACGCCCGTCACAATCCCAATGAGGGTCAGGATGACCATCATGAACGCGGTGAGCTGCATGCCACCGCCCTGTGACTCGCTCCCGCCTGCCGAGCAGGTGGGCTCCACGACCGTCCCGTCGGCGGTCTGCGCCGCTGCAAACAGCAGCAGCGTCGCCAAGACCTGGCTGGCCTCGTCCGTCCCGAAGCCAGCGATCTTCCTGCTCACGATCCCGAGGTTCCTCATGCAGGTCTGCAGCGCCTCCTGCTCCAGCGGCTTCGTGCCTGCATCACTCGGGTTCTTCTTGCCGTCCACTCTCTCAACCTCGAACTGCTTTTCCCTCAGCGCCTGCTGGTGCCAAAGGTACCTGGTCTGTAGATGCCGTACACGCCCGCAGCCCACTCTGTGGATCATCCCACGGGCCGCGTCTGAGTCCGTGCGAATGATCAGCCTCACGTCTGCTGGAACACCAGCTCCAAGCTCAGCGATCTCGAGCATCACCTGCTTGACCGTGATGCCGCGCGCTGCCGCTGAGCCGATGGCGTAGAACTCCGACTCTGCGCTGCTGAGTGCAACAGCGCCCTGCGTGATGCTCCAGCTCTCGATGAGATGACCAGCGCCAGGATCTCCGACCTGGATGGTCCCCGCCGACGTGCTCTTGCATGTCTGTACGTCGCCGCTCCAGTCGCCGTCGGAGTAGACCACCACGTCCGTCCACTTCTCCTGGTAGAGGAACTCGATCCCGACGTCATGCGTCCCCGCGAGGTAGCGTGCCAACCTCCTGAGTCGCATCATACTCAGGCGCGTCGGATGTGCCATATCCGACGCCAGCTGCTTGGTGGCGAACTGGATGTCGAAGCGGTCTGGGCCGATGTACATGCAGATGCCCGTGCCCCTGCAGTAGATCGCCTTCTCGGCCCGCTTCAGCTCCTCCAGAGCATCCCTCGCGTTCTTGCCAGTCGCTCGGCTGACAGGCGTCGGGGAAGGCTTCACGTTCTTCAGGTCCAGCAACGTGCTCAAGTTCTCGAAGTGCTTCGGGTCAGGCAGCAGCATGAACCCCTTCGCGCTCCAAAGTAGAAGCCGTCGTAGAACCAGGCCTTGCTCTTCAGCGGCTGGACCAACTCTCGGGAGGATCTTGGCCTTGAAGCTGCCCGTGATCATTGCGTCCACCTTGTCCAGCTCGTGCGGCTCGCCCTCGGTGTAGAAGTCATCCCCGTGGAAGCCTGACAGGCAGTCCCACTCGCTGTGGTACGCCAAGCAGGGGACCGTCGACAAGATGTTCCAGCCATGCTCTCGGTACGTGTCACGCACCAGCTGCTGGAAGTCAGCGCTCGACTCACGCATCCCGTACAGCGCCTTACTCACCAGCCAGAGCCAGTCGGGGCAGTTCAGCTCCTTCGGAGGCTCGGCCCACACGGGCTCCTTCAGCTCAGCGTGGAAGAAGGCCACCGAGATGTCGTGGGCTGCGAGCTGCCTCGAGCTGCCTCTCGACGCCAACCTCGAGATCACCAGCTTCAGCGCCCATGTCGGTGGTGTCCCCGCGTAGTGCTCTGGTGCAAAGACGCCTCCTGCGAAGTCGCGCGCGACGATCCGCGATCGCGCACAGTCTGGACCCTTCCTGGTGTGGAAGAGCTTGGTGGAGATCACCCTCTCACCAGCTGGCTTCTCGCTGCGCTTCTTCCAGACCATCACCTCGAACTCGTCCATCTCGTCGAGCTCGCGCTTCACGCCCTGCAGCACCAGCTCCTTCGGCAGCACCTCGCCCGTGAACTGGTCGTGGAAGCTCCCCGCGAACAGCTCCCCGTCGAAGGTTGGAGGTGGGACCTCCTCCTCGCAGAGGGCTCCGAGAGTCATGGGTTCACTGACTGGGTCGGTGTCCATGGGCGCAGCGGGAACCACCTCGATCACTGGCCTCTTTCTTGCTGGTTCGGCTGCTTCAGCATCTCTCTCTCTTCGGTGCTGCGGACGCTGGCAGTTGTAGTCCTGGAGGTGGACTTATCTCCTGCTGCGGTGCTGGAGCTGCCTGTTGTGGTACTGGCTTCGCAGCCTCGGCGCCTGCGGCACCCACAGCTGGCTGCAGCTGGATCGCCTGCTCAGCCTGCGCCTTGAAGATCTCCTCGAACCGAGCCCTGCACGCCACCGTGTGCACGCTGGACAGCCCCAGGCAAGCTGGGCAGTCTGGGCTCTCGCCGTGCTCCTGGATCAGGGCACGCGTGATGTACCTCCTCCTCGTACTCACCACCGGTGTCTCCGTCGTAGGCGCTCTCGGGTTCCAGGGCACACCGATGAACGTCCTGAACTCCTCCTGGACCCACCGCTCGCTGTCGTCACGCCTCTTGAACGTCCTGCTGAACTCGATCCCTCGCGCCGTGCCCACGATGACCTCATCACTCTCGTCCCTCCGCCCGAGGAACACTCCTGTGGCCCAGCGGGGGTCGAGCTTCGACTGGTCCTTGCGGATCAGCTTGAAGTCCACAGTCTCGCCCACACACGCCAGGGGCGACGCGAACTCCTTGCCCTTGATCGTCGCCCAAGCGCTCCTGCCGTCGCTCTTCGTGGCGAACCTCGTAAGGACGTAGGCCGCATGCCTGACCAGCCACGGCAGGATCACCGACTGACTCGTCACCTTGGTCTTGAACTTCTCCTCGATGACGGCCACGTACGTGCGGGTGAGTGACTCCACTCTGCGCACCACAGCCTCGATCATGCCGTTCGCCTTGCTGTCGTGCTTCGTGGACTTCTCGACTGTCGTGCGGTGATGCTCCACCCGACGTCGGCGTAGCTCGCCTAGCAGTGCTTGGATGGCGGGCTCCTGGTCCGCCCGCAGGACGACTTCTCCAACACCCCATGCCTCGAGGTGGAAGAGTACGAACTCCACTGCAACGTCGTCAACTCCCTTCTTCGGCACCTGCGTGGCTCCAACAGCGCCTGGATGCCTCAGCACGATGACCAGTATCGTCGCCTTCTGCAGCTCGCCCTCCCGCGCTAGGAAGCAGTAGTCCAGCGCGAGCTTCGCGACGGTCGAGACGGACTCCTGGCTCCTGTGCTGATCCTCGGTCGCCTGGCCCGTCAAGCAGTACCTGCACCAAGCACGGAATGGACAGTGAGTGACCTCGTGCTTTGCCCTCTCGTCTGCGCTCGGCCAGACCGCTACCTTCTTGGTGGTCGCGCTCCTGGCCTCCTCGCTGTCCTCGAGCTCCACCTTGGGCCTTCCGCCAACATCCTTCGGCTCGTCGCTCTTCTCCGTCGTCGGGCACAGCTCGCCAGTCGAGCACCGACGAGCTCGGATGACGAAGATGCCATTCTTCCGCTTCAGCTCGATGGACTTGCCCTTGCCGATGCTGTCCTTCACGTGGCTCGCCAAGTCCTTCGCCTGCTCGGGCTTCACGATGTAGCTGCCTCCGTCGCACAGCCACACACCGTAGCCCGCGTCAACTGCAGAACTCGCCGCCATGATCGGCTTGCGCACCCCTTTGGCCTCGAACTTCACCGTCAGCGGCTCGCCAGAGTTCTGGTCCGTCATGCTCACCTCCTTCTTCCCGTAGTGCTTGAGCTCGTTGCCGTCGGCCTGGTAGAGCACCGTCCCACGGCACTCCTTGATGGCCACCTCAGGCGCCCACGAAGGTGGGCAGACGCTCCTTGCAGCACACGTGTCAAAGAGCAGGTCGAAGTCGGCGCCCTCGAGGGCGCAGCAGTAACCCGTCTCGATCTCGTTGGAGTTCTCGCCCTCCATCAGCGCGAACACGAAGCCATCCTGCTCGTCGTAGTAGTAGTCGTCGTCGGACAGGGCCGTCACCGCCGCTGCGTCGCCATTCTCGCTCTCGAGGCGCTTGCCTGTGATCTTGTCGACTGGCTTGCCTGCGTAGCGTCCCGACTTGTCTGGCTTGATGTCCTTGCTTGCTCGGTCCTTCGCTAAGATCCTGCACTCCTGCTTCGTGTGGTTCGGCTTGGCGCAGTAGAAACAGACCTTCTTGTTCTTACCCTTTCCGTCGTGGCTCTTTCCCTTGCCGCTCTTGTCCTTGCCTTTGCCTTTGCCGGCCTTGCCCCGTGTCATAGGGCACAGCTCTCCAGTCACAGGGTTCAGCTCCATGGGTACTGGCTCCTCCTCCTGGTTGGCCGTCGCGCGAAGGTATGAGATCACCTCGGCCTTCGCGGCTTCGTACGTCTGCAAGCGGCCTACCTGGAGGTTGACGTGGGTCTTCAGGGGCCCATCCAAGAGCTTGTTGGTCAAAGTCGCCAGCTTGATTGAGTCAGCCATCTGGTCACCAGACTGCTCCTCATAGGCCTTCAGCTGGCGCTCCCAGGTGTAGATGCTCTCCAACATGTCGGGGCCTCGCACGGGGTCGAGCAGCCTCTGTAGCATGCCCTGGAAGCGGCTCGGCAGCCTGGGCTCGAACTCGCGGCACAGCTGCCTCCAAGCCTCGACCCCCCAGCCTTCTGGGACGCGCTGCACCACCGATAGCGCTCGCCCACGACACGTGAGTGCCAGCACGTAGTAGATCTGCGACGAGAGCTTCTTGTCGTTCACATCCATCATCACATTGCTGATCTGCTGCTCGTCGTCGACCTTGTTGGCTGCATACTCCAGCGCGTCCCTGCAAGTCGGGTCGAACGCGCCAGCGTATGCCCTGAATGTGAATGACCACTGCGGCCACGCTAGACCTCCTTCTGGCTTGCCGTCCGCCGTCAAGTCACCTGAGAACAGCGGCGGCTTGCCAAGCGCCCTCGTGTCCACGAGAGAGCTCTCGCCACGGCTGGGCTGCTGAGGAGCGGCTGCGGCTCCTGCTGCAGCGGGCGCCGCGGTGCTCATCTGGTCGATGACCCTCCTGGCCTCGGTGAGCTCGGCCGTCCTGTCTGCAATCTGCTGCTCCGCCGCCGTCAGCCTGGCCTCCATCGCTCTGAGGGCCTCCTCCATGGCCGATGCGGGCGGACTCCGCGGTCAGGGAACCACGCTCCGCGCTACCATGCTGATATGGATGGATGGCATGTTCTTAAGCCCCAAGTGGCTACAGTACTTCAACTCACAATCACGTGCATGTTGCATGGATGTCCGCAGAAAATAAACAATTTGTGGCTCTCAGGCCTCTCTCGGGGGTCCTCGTGGGGCCTTCTTGCGGCGTCTGGGTGGCCTCTTGGAGGCATCTTCGGGTTTCTTCGGGGTCTCTTGGGGCCTCCCGGGCGCCTGTTTTGGCGGAAAGCTCGAATTGTCGGTTGGATTTCCCAATCTTGGGCTTCTCTTGGGCGCCTTCGGGGCCCCGTTTGGGCAGTCTGGGGCGCCTCTTGGGCCGTCCTGGGGCTCTCTTTTGGGCCGTCTTGGGGCCCTCGGGGACGCCTCTTGGGCCGTCTTGGGGCGGTCTTGGGGGCCTCTGATGTCGTCAAGAACGGTACGACAGCGAAAACAATACATATGCTAAAAACGTACGTTTTGCGAAGGGAATGGGGTAATTTTGCCTCTTGGGGACGTCCTGGGGGGCCTCTCGGGGGCTTCTTAGAGCGTTTGCGAGGCCTTTGGAGGTGTCTTGGGGGTCATCTTGGGCATCTTGGAGCGGCCTTTGGGTGTCTTGGGTCCGTCTTGGGGCGTCTTCGGGTTCTCTTGGCGCGTTCCCGGGGCGTTTTGAGGGCCTCAGGGACGCCCCAAGAGCCTGGGCACACACATTTGTGGTCGTGGTCGCGGCCCTGGGCCCCCGGACCCGGTGCGCCGTTATATGTATGTATGTATGTCTGTCTGTCTGTCTGTCTGTCTGTCTGTCTGTCTGTCTGTATGTACGTATGTACGTACGTACGTACGTACGTACATACGTACGTATGTATGTATGTATGTATGGATGTATGTATGTATGTATGTATATATATATATATATATATAAATCTATATATATGTGTATATATATATATATACACATATATATATATTAGAACCGTCGCGCGCGCTTCGCGCGCGCTCAGGTTCTAGCCCAGGCCGGGGTGGCGCTGGACGATCTTGGACAACGCTATCAAGCACAGGCGCGCGACGGCATCTGAGGAGCTTCTGGGGTGTTCCGCATGCTTCGTCAACTAGCTGTTGGAGGCACCTCTTGGGTGCCTCTGGGGGGGGCGTCTGAGGGTCCCTTGGGGGCATCGGATCTGCAATCTGAAACCGTCATTGGCCGTCTTGGCTGCGTGGAGGCCCGACTTGAGGCCACCTGCGGCCAGATTGAGGCAATCCGGAAGCCTCCCGGTGGCCTCCTGGAAGCAGTTTTGACGCATCGAGGGCACTCTTTGGCTAGTTTAAAACCTCTTGGACGTCTCCTAGGGGCCTTTTAGGCCCTCGGGAAGCTTTTGGGGTCCTCTTGCGGCCTCCTGTGGGCCTTTTTGGGGGGAACGCTCCGCTGTTGGATCGCGTTCCCTTTCTTGGGCCTCTCTTGAGGCTCTTGGGGCCCTCTCGGGCCGTCTTGGGCGCCTCAAGCACCGTCTTGGGGCCCTCGCGGGCCGTCTTGGGGCCCTCTTGGAGGCCTCTTCCTCTATATTGGAGCGGTATTGGAAGCCTCTTGGGTTGTCTTGGAGCATCGGGATGCCAAAAGGCAGAAAAAATGAAAACCCGTCAAAGCCCAATCGTAAAACAATGAGTTGTGCCTCTTGGGGTCACCTTGGGAGATCTCTTGGAACCTCGTCGGCCCTCTTGGGAGCTTCTTGGGGGCCTCTTGGATCCGACTGGGGGCCTCTTGGGACTTCCCGAGAACCTCTCGGGGTAGAAAGCTCGGATTCTCAGGTAGTGTTTCCCTTCTTGGGCCTCTCTTGGGGCCGTCTTGGGGCCCTCTCGGGCATTCTGGGCGCCTCAGGCACAGCCTTGGGGCCCTCGTGGGCCGCCCAGGGCCCTCTTGGAAGCCTCTTCGGCTATCTTGGAGCTGTCTTGGAGGCCTCTTCCTCCTCCTCGTCCCCCTCCTCCTCCTCCTCCTCCCACTCCAGCTCTCTCTCTCCTCCTGATCTTCCTCCTCCTCCTGCAGCGTGTTCCGGAAGGCTCCCGCCCGAACATGCTGTGCACAAGTGCTGTCAATGCTCCCGCCACAGTACCCTGGGTGGTGGGTCAGAGGCCTCATGGGTGTTGGTTTGGATCTCGTGGTTGGCCTGTCGGGGACGTCGTGAAGGCAGTTTCGCAGCTTCTCGGTAGCCGTTTTGGAACCGTTGTGGGGCCTCCTCGGGGCTGTTTTGTTGCCTCTTTAGGCCTCGTTTGGGCCTCCTGGGTGCCTCTTGGGGGCCTCCTGGGGCCTCTTGGGGGCTCCTTGGGGCCTCCTGGGGGACTCTTCAAGCGGGAGGGTCGAATTTTGGAGTCGTGGTCCCCCTCTTGGGCGCATCTTGGGGCTGTCTTGAGGCTCTGTTGGGCTGTCTTGGGCGACGCTGGGACCGTCTTGGGGCCCTCTTGGGCCGTCTTGGGGCGCTCTTGGGGGCCTATTGAGCCGTCTTGGAACGTCGGACAGCCGAAAAGGCTGGAAGGCCAAAATCGTTCCAAAACCTTCGTAAAAGTGACGATTTCGGCCTCTTGAAGCGCTGTGGAGAGGCGTCTTGAAGCGTCGTGGAGTGCCTTGGAGGGCCTCTCGGGCCGTCTTGGGCCTACCTTTGGCGTCCTGGAGCGGTCTTTCGGCGACTCGGGGCCCGCTTGGGCCGTCTTGGGAGCCTCTGGAGGCCCTCCTGGACAATTTTGGACCTCCCCGGCCGCCCCGTACTCCCACGGGGGGTCGGAGGCGGCGGCCTCCGAGGCCCAGGACGCGGAAACCCTTTAAAAACTGCCAAAGAGAGTTCGAAGAGAGTCCCAAGACGGCTCAAGTGGGGTTCAGGAGTGACCTAGAGGCCCCCAAGACAGCCCAAGAAGGCTCCAGGACCGCTCCCAGAAAGGGCTCACAGGGGTACCCGACCTGACATTTCCAGCCTTCCTCCCCAAAGAGAGCCCTAGGAGACCCCAAGAAGGCCCCCCCAAGCATCCAGAATGCCCCAAGAGGCCGCCCATTGGCCCCCAAAAGGCCTCCAAGAGGCCCCCAGGAAGCCGAAGATGGTCCGCAGACAGCCCCCCAAACCGCCCAAGACGGCACAAGAGGCATCCAAGAGGCCTCCCAAGAGGGCCCGCAGAAGCAAAAATGGCCCGACCCCCTTCGGAAAACGTACATTTTTATAATATTCGCCCAGAGGCCTCCAAGCTCGCGCCAAGACAGCCAAAGAGGGTCCCAGAGGGCCCCAAGATCGCACCAGACTGCCAAAGAGAGGTCCAAGAGGGCCCCAAGACGGCTCAAGTGGTGTTCAGGAGTGACCTAGAGGACCCGAAGACAGCCCAAGAAGGCCCCAGGACCGCTCCCAGAAAGAGCTCACAGGGGTACCCGACCTGACATTTCCAGCCTTCCTCCCCAAAGAGAGCCCTAGGAGACACCAAGAAGGCCCCCCAAAGCATCCAGAATGCTTCAACGGGCCCCCCACAGGCCCCCAAGAGGCCTCCAAGGGGCCCCCCGGCAGCCGAAGATGGTCCGCAGACAGCCCCCCAAACCGCCCAAGACGGCACAAGACTCGAGGGGCGACCGGGGCGGGGACGGCGTCGACGACGACGACGCCGACGACGGCGACACCGCCGACAGCGGAAAATTCTCTCTGGGATCCGAGGGCCTCTGCGCTGGCCCGGGGCGGGAGGTGCCACCGCAGGAGGGCCACGGCGCGCATGGCGTCCAGGAGGCCGTTTTCTTGGACCGGCGGCGGCGGCGGTCCGAAGTGCGGCTCGTCCGCACCGTCCGTTGTGAGGTTCCTCGGGGCTGTTTGGGAGCCTCTTGAAGCCTCGTTTGGGCCTCCTGGGTGCCTCTTGGGGGTCTCCTGGGGCCTCTTGGGGCCCCTTTGGGGCCTCCCGGGCGGGGCCCTGTGGAGGCGGGAGGCTCGAATTTCCGGTTCGCGGTTCCCCTCTTGGGGCCCTCTTGGGGCCGTCTTGGGCCTCTCTTCGCCCGTCTTGGGCGCGTCTTGGGCCGTCTTGGGGCCCTCCAGAGCAGTCTTGAGGCCCTCTTGGAGGCCTCTTGGGCTTTCTTGGGGCGTCCGCGGGGGGCCTTTGAGCCGTCGTGAAGCGTCGGAAAGATGAAAGGCGGGAAAGGCAAAATGAGTTCAAAACCTTCGTAAAATCAACGATTTTGGCCTCTTGGGGCCCTCTGGGGGGGCCTCTTGGAGGCCTCTTGGAGCGTCTTGGGGGCCTCTTTGGCCGTCTTGGGTTTATCTTGGGCATCTTGGGGCCCTCTTGGCGCCCTCTTGGGCCTCTTGGAGCCTGCTGGGCCTGTCGTGGAGCGCTCTTGGGGCACTCTTGGGCCGCCTGGGCTGCTCCAGGGAGGCTCCAGGCCCCCCCGTCCCGCCATGTAGGGTCGGGGCACCTGTCCTGGGGCCCCCGGCCTCGCCCCCAGGGATATATATGTATGTATAATATATATATTATATATAATATATATATATATATATATATATATATATATATATATATATACATATATATATATATATATATATATATATATATAAATATATATAGGCCGTCTTGGGAGCCCCTTGGGCCGTCTTGGACGCGATGACAGCCCAACAGGCGAACATACGGAAAATATACGTTTTTACCTAACAGCGAAGACTGATAGGTTTCTAATGGTCTCAAGAGAAAGCATCATGACTCCCCAGGGGGGTCCGGGCAGGATCCGGGGAGAATCCGCGGAAGTCGCTTTAAGCAAACAGTTACACACTTCGTGGTCTTCGAGGTCCCAGAACTCCATTA